TTTTTTTTTTTTGCCATGTTCGTCCCACTGCAGGGCAAAGGCCTCGCTACCCTCCTTCCACTAGTCTCTTCTTACAGCTTTATGTGGCCAATCCTTTTCATAGGCGTCCAGTTAATTTCATAGGTTTGCATTACTAGTACCTAGTCAACAATTCAGAGTATATTGTTACCATTTTCGGATGGATTAAAGACAATAAAATTCTTATTTATATTTAACATAATTGTATTATTTTCTGTACCTATTTAGAATTTTAGAATTTTGACCAAAAATATTGGAAATTCGAAGTACTTTTTTAGTGATTACTAATAACTCATGCTGCTATAACCGCTACTGTGACAAAATAATATAGCAATGTAATGTAAAATAAATAAGCATTTATATTTTATAACACTCCCATATAACATAGTATATCTTTTATCTACAATTCAAATTGCGCTCCTAAAAATATTGGGTATATTCGACGTTACTCCATAGTATTTCATAAACAGTTAAGGCACTTTTACTGATTAGAACTTCGTTTTTTTTAAACCCAGGAATGGCTAAATCTCTCTAATTACACGTTTTTCATTTTTTAAATGAATAATGTACAAAATCTTAACCTACAGTAGTACAGTATCATCTTAAACTTAAAAATAGAGTTACAAATAAAGAGATAATATCCATTTACAGAACAAATAAAAATCCATAATAAATTGCTGGCTACATAATAGAATTTCCTTATTTTAAAATGATGTTTTGCAATGGCGATTAATTTAAAAATAGTGCCTATAAAAATCAGTACTCTTTGTGCAATATAAAAATCTGTTACAATACAATATAAAGTATGTTTCTTGTTAAAAATATGTTTGAAAAAATATAATTATCTTTTATCCATTGATCCCGGTTCCAATACTGGTTGTATATAAAATAGTGCTTTGTACAAAAAGTGCAAAAATATATAAAAAAAAAATGTGCCACAGATACTAGTGCATCTGTAACTTTACACTCTATGCTATTATGCAGATAATATTTTGGTAATATCCAAAAAGGATTTATGCAGAGCTTCGACATAGTGAGTGCTGTTGTTATGAGACTTGTAACTCGCTACTGCTGCTCCTAACTTGTCTGGAAATGCTGAATAACTGAAAAAAGGAAAACATTACCTTTAAAACTAATACTATCTAATTGATTTTTAAAGAGGGCCAATGTATGGTAATTTTCATTTTTTTTAAGTAAAAAGTTAAACAGTTAATTCTAAGAACTCGGGTACCTGTTAATATTAAGTAAAGAAACTTACGCAATCCCAAATCCCTCTTTAACAACAGGTCCAAAGCCTCCTGCCATGACGCTGGGCGAAGACAGAGTACTCGTACTCAAAATTGACTTATTCAAGTACTTGTACTCATAAGAATCGAATATTTCTGGTCGAGGCATGTTGTTGTCTTCCGCCATCTTCATTAGCGCAAACAAGTGACGATCAAATCCCTGGCCCATGGCTGATTCTTTGACGAGTTCTAAATGAAGTTTGGAACATTCTGTCAGTTTACTGCGAAGATCATCGTCAGACCTGTTGTTCGAATGGAGGGTTTCGCAGAATGCCTGTAATTTAGAAACACAATACCTATTAATACATTTTGGCTTAGACAGGCTTTGGTTTAATTATTTTGTGCATAGGTGGTTGAAGAAAAGCCAGTTCTGATATTGAATGGACACTCTTTAACTACGTATAAACGGAACGCTTCTAAAATGCTTCTGGGTGTCTTCAAGGCCGTGAATAGGTTGCTTAGGTATAGGACGACGTGCTCCATCGTAGACCGCATCATCGCTTACCACCAGGCGGGGTAGCGGTCAAACGTCGGCCTATTAAATATATGAAAATTCCCGTATAGGAAGTTTAGGAAGAAGAAAACGCTGTTAGCATTCTCCTTACGCAATTGTGTAAAAGTTAAATATATATTTTTTTTAAACATTTCCCTACACTAGGATTTTTTCGGTGCCGTGGGTGCGTTTACAAACATACAAGTTCACATACATAAATAAAATTTATCGTTCCTACCGGTATGATAAATGGATGCTAGACAAAATAAAAATAATCTATCATATCTGTTACAGATAATTAAGTATCTGTCTAAGTATATTATATCTTTGACCTACAAATAGCCATATGCAGGCCCATAAAGATTATGATAAGAATAAGTACCGAATGTAATGAAAGTATAAATGAAATAATAATGTACTCTTTTGTTAATACAAAATAAAAGTAGATAATATTTTTATGATTGAGTAAGTTTATAGGTTAATTATAAATCGGTTACAGATTTCACTAAGGATGGCTGATAATGTAATCAGATTGTGAACTAAATTATCGTAATATTGCTAGCATAGTGAAGATAAGACGAACATAATGTTTAAAGAGGGTAGGCAGAGCTGCAGGAATACTTACAATGAAAAAAGCACTACTAATGATACTTATGCTATGAGTCCCATGGAATAGGAGGTAAGCTGTACATTGTATTGAGAAATCCGAAAAATAACTATTGGTTATTATTATACTTTGCATTACCTAACTGGTAAATCGTTGTTTTTTCTGCATAAGCAGACAAACGAGCAGACGGATCACCTGATGGTAAGCAATCGGCGTCGTCCATGGACACCTGGAACACCAGAGGCGTTACAAGTGCGTCACAGTCACCTTTTGGGAATTAAGAGTTTGAGGATCGTTGGGAATTCAGGGATTGGGGAAGGGGACCTCCGGTAACCTCACTCACATGACGAAACACAACGCAAGCGTTGCTTCACGTCGCTGTTCTGTGAGGCGTGATATCACTCCGGTCGAGCCGGCCCATTCGTGACGAAGCATGGCTCTCACACACTTATGTTTATAGCAGTGAAGCTAAAGTAAGTAGTAATTAATTTGGTACCTTCGTTTTAAGAGTGCATGGCCGCATAGTTTCAGTTCTTCCATGTTTGAAGGCTGAAGTGCTGCAAGACTCGTATGTCCCCACGAAACTACCTTTTAAGAGGTGATGCGCCGCCTGGAAAATTAAAAAATATGAATGCTTTTAATCAAAATAAATAAGTTATTCATGTAATTAAATAAATATGTAGAATTGTAGATACTTTTTATTTTTCAATTAATTTTATTGTTAATCACATTGTACACTGTGAAAATTTAATGAAAAAATACACAGTAGTTCTTTATTCTAGTGTGGCACAATATTATTTTTTTGTAATAAAAGTTTATCATACTCAGATTTATATTTATGGCAGGTAATATTAATTTATTGGTATTGACATGTTTTAAGTAATAAGTAGTACAATAAGAATGAGACTTTTAAAAATGAAATAAAGCATAGGAATTTGTGAATGTAAAAAAATGGTATTTGTCAAATTGTATATTATATTTACCTGGAATGATAGCTGCATAATACAGTCAGGACTAACTTTGAATTTCTTACACGCTGCTTTATTTAAACCTTCATACAAAATATAATCTATGCTGAGTGAATCACACCATGCTTTGTACTCCTTCTTGGCATTATCAATAAACTGCTTTGACTTATCATCTAATTTGAATTCTGAAAACAAAAACTGTCAATTAATAAAATATTTGTTCTGATTCCTAATTTTGGATGAGTTTTTCAAGACCCTTTAAATACGATCATAGATTAATTGTCTAATTCATCATCATCAAGTTTTCAACTTGGTCTGTTGAAGAAAAATAACAATTTGACGAATTAAGTTAGATTTTTGATCCACATTAAAAATCAAAAAACAAAAATATTAGTTACATCTAAGTTTGTTACATTGTACAATGGCATTAGGCGCCGTAATATGCACCTCTGCCTATCCTTCGGAGATAAAAAGTGTGATGTTATGTTATTTAAGTTTGTCTTAAACTGTCAAACACTAAGCGGTCACCGGTGACCGCAACCTATTGTTCTATAATTGTGTCTACAAAGACGGTACTCAACGATATATTATAATTACACTATTTCTCACCTAACTTCTGTACACTTATATTACTATCAGCTGGCTTCGATTCTGGATGGATAAATGGTTTTTTCGTGGTTTCGGCATAAATGTCTTGGAAGAATCTCAGCACAGCCACCCCATCGCCCCAGGAATGTTCGAAGTTCACACCAGATACACCATCACCAGTTACGATAAGACTGAATGACTTGTCAAACCACCTGTAAAATACTTTTGACTTAATTTTGTTTCACTTAAAAACTGCTCGTACATAATTAAAATGTTAGCAGCCATGAATCATCACTACATAGTATAAAACAAAGTCGCTATCCGCCGTCTGTCAGTCCCTATGTATGCTTTGATCTTTAAAACTACGCAACACGCGCTTTTGATGCGGTTTTTTTTAATAGATAGTGATTTTTAAGGAAGGTGTACGTATTACACCCGTGCGAAGTCGGGGCGGGTCGCTAGACTACTATAAATAAATAAAATTGTCATTTACCTACATCACTAAAGTAAGCTAAGTAAGCTATAATAAGTAATAATAACATTTGATTGAATACCCATTTAGTACAGAGCTTTGGGTCCATCCATATGTCATAATTTTTATGATGCAATGACAATAATTTTCAGGATAAATGGATCTTTAACTTCCCTTCTTCCCCCGATTTCAAATTCAGGGGATGATACTATGAAAACTCTCATTTTCCCCATTTCAGAGAAAACATGTTGGGAAAGATGGGAATGAACTGAGATCACATAAAATTATTGAATAAAGAAAAATAATATACCTATTAGTCCCATCGCTATGAAGGTATTTTCTTAAAAGCACACGCTTATCATCATTGATTACATCCTCATCTAACACTAGATTAAATATTGCAGAGTCTATCTTTCTCAAAACTTCACTATTCCCTGTAGACTCTAAATGCACTCGCTGTTGGGCCCATTGGTCCCTGTTCTGAGTCGTCAGTACTCCCAAAGGATACTCGGAAGATGGAGAATTGTCATTTATAACTTTGCTCAGGTTACCAAGAATTTCTTGAGGTGACAAAAGGTTACCTGAAAACCATAATATATGTTAATCTAATGTATGAACTGAATACATTGATATGTTAATCTTAGGATTAAAGTACAGCACTAAAATTCAACAACTAATCTGATTAAATGAATTGTTTTTCTATTAAAATGGGTGGGTAAACATTATCTTATCATGTTTAGTTAGAAAATAAATATTATAGGTCTTTTTCAGTACTTCATGTAGAATAAAATATTAAATGTCTTACCATCAGCATCTAAAACATCAAACACATAAAAGTTTCCTTTTCTCTGTACAACTACATGCTTGCTTTTTGGGTCCCTGAAGATCTCATCCTTATTCTGGCGAGGCAGACGAGTAGCACCAAATAAACCAACAAATTGACTCATGTCCAGTGGAAATACTTTGAATAGATAGGCACCATACCTGTAATTATAAGAACATAGATTAACTCGTATATCCCCAAGCGGTCACCAGTGACCACTCTCAACTAAACTATATTATAGACCTAATTTCCCATGTTTAGAGACTACTTTTGTATGAACAAATTTAAACCGTCACTGAGTGGTCACCAGTGACTGCAACCTATTGTTCTTTAATTGTGTCTACAATGATGGTACTCCAACCCGTTGAAATCCACCCCCTAAATTTGGTCATACAAAAGTAGTCTCTAAACATTACAATAAGGTCTATAATGTAATGTAATATTAGTGGAAAGCGGTCACCGGTGACCGCTTGGTGATTTATGGGAAGAGTTAAGGGGTGATTTTCAACAGGTTAATAGGGCTGAGTAAGTATAGTAAACAATCATGGCTTAAAATAAAATAGAAATAAATAATAAACATTCCAATTACTTTAAACATAGAACAACTTTGTATAAAGGCCTCAGTTAAATAAAATCTATTATATGATAGTTAACAATAAAGGTAAATATTGTGTACCATGAAATGGCTTCAGGAAGCATTCTTGTGAAATTTCTAAACAGTGGAGTGTCACTTTTCTTGGGGTTCATATGATACACTTCCGGTTCCAATATCTGTTCTCTTAAAGACAACATGAATCTTACAGCACTGATTAAAATATTTGTAGACCTTATAAGCTGATCATTGTACTCAGGTCTCACGTCATTTTGGAACACTATCATAGGATTATAGTTTATAGGCAATGGTACTCTGTCGCGTAAATAGAGATCAAACCAATAATCTGATATATAACTTGTGTGCTTGTTCCTTTTGTCCTTAGCTGTAAGTTTTTCTTGGAGAATTTTCCCCTCTTTAGTTATGAAGTTATTAGTACGCTGCTGAGCTTCTTCGAACTGACTGGCAGTCAATAAAGGTCTGAGTGCATTCAAATATCTTTCGCCCGTCTTCGAAAGTTCCGGTATCGGTAAACGAGGCAAAGACTTCTGGAAATGCATAGTCGGTAACTTGCTTCTCTGTAAATATTGATAGTTAGCATCTTTGATGTTTTTCTTCGTAAAATTACGCTGCTGTATGATCTTTTGACACACATTATTTTTGCTTATTAGTTTATTAGCTCCAATCATTATGAATGACAGTGAAAAAAAATATACAGTAGAGTTAAATCACTATAGTGTAAAATAAGAAAAAAAAACAGCAAACTATGGAACTACTGTAAAATATTTAATAAAATTAACGTTTTAAACTCAAAACTATGGGTACCTAACTAAAAAAGACGTCAAAATGACGATGTCAATGACCTCAAAATGTCAACATTGTTGTCAAAGTACGTACTCAAAGTCCATTTTGCTAGTGTTGTCTTATCTCTCATTTACTATTTCTCGTGAAATCCTAGAGAGGTGCCGTTAGTCGATGTCGATATCCGTGAAAAGTTTCCTCTCCTACATTAGAAAATGTCAAAGTCAAATCAAAACTGAAAATCAGAATTTTCTTTGATGAAAATGTGATAGCGATCCCAAAATAGATATTTTTGTGCGAATTTAATTGGAATTGTCTACTAATCACTGTAAAATATTTAGTCTTTTATTTTTTACCTTCAGTTTGTAATGACGCCTCTGAACTATCAATTGTAATAAATTCCATTCAATTAAATAGCCAACATGAATGAACTACCGGAAAATAGCAACAACTCTGGCGGCAATGATTTAGAAACCTTGGATTATTTACGTGGTGTAAAATCGTCAACGTGCTTGTTACTACCGACGACACCTAGTCCTACACCGCTCGATTTCAAACATCCACTATCTGAAGAAATGGGCGACCGTCCGTTTTTAACTCTGAATGACGAGCCCAACATGGTCAATTTACAGACAGGTAAGAAATTTAATAATATTTTAAGCGTCTAATAATAAATTTATGTGCAGTTTTCTTACCACTTGTCATAAGTGCTGATTATTAATAAAATCTTCAAGTCAGTTGCATCATCATCATCATACCAATTGCCAGCCGTAAAGGTATTTATTTTGTAATAATAAATAAAATATTATCATAGGTAAAAGGAAACATTTAATGTGATGAAAAAAGTAAATTTAATTGTGTAGAATAATCTCTAATTAATATTTAATTTTTTTTACTACATAGAGCCTGGCAAAATTATGATAGTAAAATAATGTTGATGTTGCAAATTTTCAGATGCATCAGCGGGAGATTCTAGTTCGTCGGGTGACTCAAGCTCTGTTGTTCAAGATCCAGTCAGCGCTCAGCTCATCAATAATATCAGCATGTTGGATTACCAGACACTAAGCAAGAATGGTGACCTGATTATGGGACAAGTAAGTTTCTAGAGTACTTAAAAAATCTGATTAAATTATTTTTTTGCTGATTGCCACTAGTATTTAGAAGTTTAGTACATATATAATTGAACTCGTTGAGTACCGTCATTATAGACACAATTATAGAACAATAGGTTGCGGTCACCGGTGACCGCTTGGTGTTTGACAGTTTAATAAATATAGAAACACTTTATATTGTATTAAAAATATTATTCATATTTTGCAGACTGAAGACTGCAAGCTCAACGGCAACCACAATGTCAATGGCAGAAAACTACCCAGCTTCGTTAACTGGAACTGGAGTGTGATCAGGAAAGTACTTCTTTGGATTGTCCTCTCCGGTCTTATCGCCTGTTTGGGTGCTATTATAGGCATGGTGATCACCATCCCAAAAGAATGCAATCCTGACCTTCCTTGGTATCAAGGCAAAGTATTTTATGAAGTATTTCCGGCAAGCTTCAAAGATTCTAACAATGATGGCATGGGTGACTTAAAAGGGCTTCTTAAAAAGCTGGACTACATCCAAGACCTAGGGGCATCAGCTATTAGACTTAACTACATATATCAAGCACAAAAATATCCTGAACAGTACTATAATATTACTTCCTTGGTACAAATAGACAGGAGTGTAGGTGTTCTGAAGGATTTTAGAGATCTTATAAATGAAGTACACAATAGAAACATGTCTTTGATCCTTGACTTACCAGTGGTGTCCATGGCAAAACCTGATTCATCATCAAACTTTACTCAAGCTGTGTTAATATCTAATGAAACAATTACTAACTTTGTTGACCCTACATCAGCGGCAATAATATTTTGGTCCAGTGAAAAAGTTGATGGCTTCTATTTAAAAGATTTAGAACAATTTGTAGATGATATTAGTTTTCCTAGAACTTTGCAAATGTGGAAACAAGCTATGGGTTATGACAAAATATTAATTGCTAGTGAAAGCGCTTATGAAAAAGCTAAGGGTGGTGCTTTAAATGTTTTGTTATCTCGAGTCGACCTTATTGATGTCCATCTGGATTTACATGAAGGTATCTCGGGTTTGAAAAATCGTATTGATAATGTTATTAAGGGTTCTTTGTGGGCAAAACCACACTATCCCTGGGTGCATTGGAATATTGGAAGTATTCATAATGAAAGAATAGCTACCAAACATGTGAACAACACTTTGGTGTTGACAGCTCTTGAGTTAGTTTTGCCTGGCACTGTTAGCATATTTTATGGTGATGAAATTGGACTTGCAGGACTAGGTGACATTGAGGGGGATTTCCACGAACACAAAGATGTAAACAATGTAGTCTCTATGTCATTTTCGAATGAAAAAAATACTGCAGTTATTTTACCTTGGAACTCAAACTCAGAGAGAGAACCCAGCTACCATTTCTTAGAAGTTATAAAGATGTTTACCAAGGTCAGGTTGGAGACGCCAACAATATATTTGCGATCTATTTACAAGGAGGGTAATAATCTGAAAAATATGGAAATTCGTAAAACTGAAGAGAATCTATTTGTTATAGAACGTTGGTATCCTCGAAGGAATACTTGCGTGTTCGTGGGGAATTTGGGAAGTAAATCTATTACTACTGATTTGTCCACCATGTTTTATGGCGGCACCGTGCTTGCTGGAACAAACTCATCTCTAGTCGGCCAAGTATTATATTTTGAGAAAATCACGTTTCCTCCCAATTCTGCCATTATATTGAAGCTAGAAAAGTAAAGAGATGAATCTCTTAAGATATATTTTTACTTCTAGGTTTTACTGTGAATTTTTAAGTTTAAGAAATTTCGTATTTTATCAAGTATTATTCTTGAAGTTATTATCAATCAGAGATCTATTAATAAGGAAAATATTTAGATATGATAAATATCCATAGGTAACTATAATGATTGCAACAGAATCTCGCGCTTCCCAAATGATCTGAAAATTTATCTCTATAAGTACTTATAATAATTTAACAGTATTAATTAACTACAACACTATGGCAGCTGAACAATTATTGTTTCATTTCATTTTAATAATCTTAGATTTTAGTTAATGTTGTTTGTTCCTGTTGATGTTGATTTGACTCAATACTTTATATTGTATTCTAATATGTATTTTAACTATGAAATTGTATTTTCATATACATAGTTCCTTTTGTACCAAAGATGTTAGGCAGCTTGAACATGATTGTATAGGATTTAAGTAATAATACCAAAGGAATGTACTTATAAAAAATAAAATCAAAAATATAGTTACAAAAATTTAATATACATTTGTACACATTGAAAACAAATATCATGTACTTAGCATATGTTTATTATGTACACATTACAATATTAATATAATAAATAGTTGTGGAATTATAACACTTTCATTCACTATGATTATAAGCAATGATATACTTATACATAACAGGTAATATATCAATCAGCGAGTATTTCATTACATATTTATTATTATAACCCACTATTTCATAGTGGAACATTGTGAGTTAGGTATTTATTTATTTTATAAACTTACAAAAAAATATATTTGCTGGGCAATTACATAAAACGAACAAATGTTTCAGTAATGCTAGTTGTATGGAATTCTTCAGTATTTATAAATTATTTGAAAGGCACATTTTGTATCACATATTTGCTTAGAATATTAATGTTAACTCTGTGTCTAACATAGACATGGTGTGGAATGATTGCTCAGTACTTAACACATGGAGTTTCAGCTTAAATTACACAATAAGATAGCTAAGTGGGTAATTTTGAGTTGCTAACTAAATGTTCTATGTCTCTCTTAAAATAATCTGCCAAATTGCTTTGGTATAAATGATCTGATGAATATATACATAGATACGTAAATAATTTCTATCAAACTATTGAGCAAAATGAACGAAGTAAATGTTCATACAAATATTTGTTTTAATTAAACCCTGAAATCATATTAATGGTAAGCAAATAGGGTAAAATTTTGCTTATTGTTCCCAATGTAAACAAGACTACTATGTTACATGCGGAAATATTTACAATTTCGACCTTAAATTGTTGTGATAAAGTTCAATTTAGGATTATGAGAAAACAGAAAAATTGCCTACCTTTTCCTTTTTAGTCTTTCCTGCAGATAATGCATTGTTTACATTCTAGTGAAATAAATATGAAAGTAAAACTATTTGTAGGAAGAAGCTTTAAATATTAATTATTATTTGTATGATTTAATATGTAGTTATAATCTAAATTCAGAATCACATTTGTATGTAAGGCTGAACTGGGTTTCTCAAAATAATTTAAATATCCAAATAAACGCCTGAAGATACACAATATAATCTCTATAGTTGACTGTACAAGTGTGATTCTTATCTTAAATTGTGGTGACAATAAGCTCAGTCTTTGTTTCGGTGGATGAAGGATCATAGCACTGGAAGGATTCACAAGCAGTAGGTAGGAGTGTATCGCAATGTCATGAGCTGGGTTGAGACTTCTTTGTTTTAGCTACTGTTGGATGCATTACATAAGTATTGGACATTGCTCTTGGATGATTCTGAGTAACTGGCAATGCTGGAAGTTTATCTGTAGGATTTCGTAATAATATTTTTTTCTGAGACCCTGTCATTACCCTCTTAGCATTACATTCTTGTTTACTCTTAAGATCTACGTTATCGGTGGTGTTTGGAACTGATTTAACGCTCTTCCGTTCACTTTCACAGTCACTACCTGTTGGTTTATTTAACTTTGGCGCACCAAAAGCTTTAGTTTGTTTCAATAACGAACGGTCGTTACATAATGCCGCGATAAGAGGCAAATCAAGGTTTTTACTTTTCTCTCGAAGAGTTTTTATGTCTAAATCACAATTGGAGTCTTTCACTTTGTTCGCACTTGTTTCACTATTCACATTTGTTAAGGTTTGAGGAATTTTGACGTCTCGCGAGTAATTGAGTAATTTCTTTTTGTATTCGTATGGCGGCGGGGGCGGCGGAGGCATTCTTCTCATCTTCACTGGCGGTGGATCTTTTGCATTCAACACATTCTCATCCGATTTCGTCCGCATAAAATGTGAAACGTCTGGCACTCGGGCGGGCACTTGCGGCCGCTCAAGATTTATGGAATGGTTGCTGAGCGATGTCCTGCTCGTTAGTGAGTACCAGCTCGTCCGCGTGCCGGGTAACTGCACGTAAGAATCCGACAGATTTTGGATCGAACCATACATGGACGACGCAGACATGGAAGTGGATAGGTATGGCGTGCTTCTGTACTGCAAGCCATTTTTGTGCATGTTCGACACGCGAGATTCAGTCAGTTTATGGTCGAGATAATTTTGCTGCGATAAGGCCGGGTCTTGTAAAGGATAGTAGACATAGTCAACGTCACTATACAGCTGCTGATGAAACATTGGATTGTGCGGTGGTGGAGGTGGTGGCAGCCGTGTGGTAGGTGGTGGCGGTGGCTGGCGAGGGCGACGGGGCGCAGGTGGAGCCGGAGGAGGTCCCGGAGCCAGTTTCATCATGGCCACTAGTACATTAGAGTCCACACTGTGCGGCATCTCTCGTGATGGTGACAAGCTGTTGTTTATCCCTTGAGCTAACTTAGATCTTTCAGCTCTGCGACTCGATGCTTGTTGTCGCTTAAACTTCTGGAATTTATGCTCTAAGACCATGGGGCTAGCAAACGTTCTTTCACTAGACGCATTCACTTCTCCGGCTTCAGCTTTCAGTATTGTTATCATTGGTTTTGATGTTACCACTCTGGCAGCCACTTCTTCCTTGTTCTCGTTCAACTGTTTTAACGATCTGGCTGTCGCCGTTGTTCCAGGATATGCTGGAGGTGCCCTGGTAGGGGGTGCAGCGTAAGAGGTGACAGTTTGATGATTATATTCATATGGCGGAGGTGGCTTGTCAGGAAATGAAGGTCTAATTGGTGTGTCGCCATTTATGTCAAATATATTTGGTAGCGACAAGTTTAGCAGTTTACGGCTATCAATTCTAGTTGGAGGTGTTGGTGGTCGGTCAAAGAAAGAGTTATTTGGATAGTGGTCATCAGAAGGTGCCGTGTCTTCGTGACCTTGAATGTAACTGTCTCCAGAAAACGGAATCGGTAACCTTACGTAGTCCGACACTGAATCCAGAGTATCACTTACAGATTGGCTCTTAGGGTATACGCCTCTTCCTACAATAAGGTCGCTTAATTCACTTGCGGTAAGTAAGTTATGTTTATTGTCTGTCGGATCACTCCCGTCGCCATGGAACGAGATTGCACTCACGTTGGAATTTGTTCTTTCTCTGAATAAATTTTCTTTATTATGTTGTTCTTGATTCTGAAACTTCGCAGCTCCATCGACACAGTCTGAGCTAGGTTGGGACGATTGTAATCTTAATGTACCTGTGGCATGACTAGTTCTTTCTGACTTGTTTTTCAGTATTGATGATACGCTGTCGAAGTCCGCAAGATCATTTTCTTTCGCTGGCTTATAGCTATCGTAGTGTGAACCATCGTAATCCGTTCTGCTAGCTTCAGATAAAGTATCCATTTTTGATCGAGCAGTGAGTTCTGAACTGCTCATAGTGTAGACGCCACTTGTTTCACTCGACGCCGCTACTGTGACTGGTTGACCCAAACCATCATACAAAGCAGATGCTGTATCTTGGGAATATTCTACATCAATGCCAACTGTACTATTGTCACTGATCATTGAATTTTGAGCGGTGTGACTATATCCTAATTCTAGACTACTAGCATTAGATGCTCTACTCAGGGTACTGAGGCCCGCGCGTGCCATTATTACGGTACTGCAAGAAGAGGAACATTGTGATCCCGTACATTTTAATTTGTTAGATCTTGGACTGTCTGTCAAAGTTTCACTAACACTTTGATCAGGCAAAGATGTCGTATCTTCTAACTGAGTCATTGAATGTTGTTCCGGTAATGCAATTTCACTCCTATTCACATTCTCGCAGTCTTCCTTGGTCTTCTTTACGCGGACTTTTGATTTTTGGAGTTGTAATGATGAGGTTTTAGTCAGTGGCTGATTATCCTGTGGCATGTGACGTATAAAATAAGAATTCGTACTGTCTAGTAAGTGTGCAAAAGCCAAACTTTCCGTGGATGGGGCTGGAGGAGAATCTATCATGATTTCTAATTCATCTTCGGACTGAACCCTGTCGCTTACTATTCCAGATGTTGTGTTAGAACTGGTTGAAGAGATTACTGATATTCTTTGTTCACTTTTATTTTGATTGTATTGTATATTTAGTGATTTCGAGTAGCCAAAACAAATTTTCCGTTCCTCTTCTTCTTTTCTCAAGATTTCATTGAATTTCGGTGCAATTTTCATTGAGAACTGATGTGTTTCTCTGCACAATGCGAAAAGATATTTACATTTCTCTTCACTTGTCGAAAATAGTGTTATTTTGCCTTCCTCAGTCCTGATTTCAAATTTCTTTCTATCAAAACTTAATTTGCCAATGGCGCTCCATATGAAATTTGAGAGTGGTCCATTGTCAGGTAAGATCTTTATTCCTTTAGCTGTTACAAGCAACCACACAGTGCCAGGTTCCGGTTCTGATTTAGATTGTTTTAATCGGTATCTATGTGAATTTATTGTGTCTGGAAGAAGACAAACTTCTCTAATAAATCTGGATTCTGCGTCAGATTTTGGAAGGCCGCGATGCTCGCGATGGCAAGCGCGCATAGCTGCTGCCACCCAGTCACCGGTGAGAGATGAAGGTGCATATTCATCCACCTTGAAGTAGTCCCGGTCCTCGTAAGAGTCCGCATCGCCGTATTCAGCTTGCAATGCTAATCCAGTAAGCAGTAGTATCACCTCAGCAGGCAAGGCGTCTCGCGTGCGCACATTTTGCCGCAGCTGGAGGAAGTACAAGTGACGACCGACTTCATCATGCAGGAGCAGGGGACTCTCCACGTGGAACTGCACGACAAGGTGCAATTCGAGGAGCGGCTTTCCATTTGCGTCCAAACCCTAAAACAATGAAATTATGTCAGTTTGATTATGACTCTTTTATGTTTTCATAAATAATTATAAATCTTCTGAACTTACATGGGTGTGAGATGACCTCCAGCTTTTTGGCGCATATTTTGATAATTTACTGTCTAAGTCAACAAATAAGTATTCTCCATCTGAAAAGAAAATAAAATAGATTACAGTTAAATGAAATATAAACTTATTTTATCTTTAAACATATTTTTCGTATGAAGATTATTATTCTTTGGTCAACAAGTACACTGCGCTCTGCGTTGTTGGAGAGTATATATTGTCTGCATAATGTGACATTGTGATGCCTGTACCAATATAGAACATTGATTACCCAACAGCGTTTGTTTGTATAGTTAGACAGAATGCTTACGAGGTGGAATGTATGACGCCATGCATACCTAATAGCTTTGTTATGTGAAATCACTCTGCAAACGTTTAGAACTTATATGAGTGATTAATGTTGAAAGATATGGGTTACACTTACTTTGCAGTATTGCTAATCCAAAGAGTTCTGTGTCGGTCATGCCTTGTAGTTGTGCGTGAGCATTGGCCAAAGATTTCAATTCTTTGACCCTTGCTTTGGCTTCTACGACGAAGTGGAGTGGTTGGGGCTGGCCGGGCATGCGCAGGGACAGGAACCGCGCGCCCGCGCCGAGAGCGCGCGTGTCGCCGCCCAGCGGCCCGCGAACCGAACACAGAGCACGCATGTCGCATCTCGAGACCACTGTTACTCGCGCTGAAACAACAAGAAATAAATGTATTCCATGGTATGAGAAGCTGATATTATTGTTGGACCCCGGTGATAGAAATCTAGGAACATTTTTAGATCATGATCCCTAATAATTGAATGAGAAGATAGAAAGAGGTTCAAAAAGGCTTAAGTATCAATTCCGTTCTATTATAATTTTAAGTGATTGAGTACGGATAGTTTTGAAGAGCTTGTACCAACTTAAAATTAAGATAAACAGCAGTCAGTCCAGTCATATAAACCAAAACATGAAAAAAGATACCTTAAGAGTCCTAAAACTTATTTGATCAAACATCATAATTGCTCATATACAATATTGTATACATATATTAGGTGGCTTATGTCTTGATAGGCCCGGATTCCAATGTGTTTACTTCTTTTTGTGCGTCATTAGTTGATTTAACTCACCCAAAACTACAAATACACGACGTAACGATAAGTCTAAGAACTTAATGCAGATGTAAATATGTTTTCCTAAGCAATTTTTTCTTTTGACATTTGTTTTTATAAATGCGTCTTTAGTGGTTTATAAAGTACGTGTTTAATGTAGATTTTAAGTCCTATCTGCGAACATTAGTCCTTTTCGAATCTTTCCTATTCACAAGAGCCTGAATGTGGCAGGACGTAGGAATGTCGGATCTGCGCCAGCTGTGCATTCCATTACTTTTTTTTCGTACCCGATCTTCTTTTTGCTACCTGCTGTTTTTGTGGCGCACATTGTTGCGTTTACTTGTGAATTATATTTTTCAAAAATTTGAGCGCATCCGCACGTGTTCATTAAAAATGGAATGCCGGTATGGCATATGAGCCTTGTTTAATTATTTATGACAATTAGAATTACAATAATCTTAGCTAGGTAATTCTTGTGACGTTAGTGGTATGACCGCATCGATAATAAAGTCAAGAGTTTTGTGCATAGAAAAAAAGCATCACATTATGCGAGTTTAGGTAAAGGTTCTATAATGTTTATCCATGGTAAAATACGTCATTCTCGTGACACCTAGTTTACCCAACGCAAGTAACTGAATACTTTGCAGGTGTCTAGGTATATCTCTGGTTAGATATAGATGGATCTAGTAGGAGATATGAAACATTTGGTAGGTAGGTAAGTACATTATAATGTTCATAATATAGATACCTATTGAGTCAATATCTTTTCTATTTCTACAGGTTACAATACAACCTTTTCTCGAAGGGGTAGTCAGAGGTGCCTATTTACGATTTAACATTCACTTTTCACCAAGTAACGTGCATTAGTCTTATGTTATAGGGTTTAAGCCTATTGCCATGCACTGGGTACAATAAATTCCAGCTCTGTGGTATTTTTTAAAAATTTAATCCTAGGTGTTCTAACTCAGCAGTCGCACTTGCGGCCAATCGATTAATGACGTAGTTTAAGTATTTTATTTCTATTATGGTTGAACTCACATCTAAGCTATGTTCAATAAGTTCATGTTCAGAATAGATAGGTGCCCCGTGCCTTCATACTAATATTATAAAACATTTATAGGAATGTCGAACCACACGATCACGTAAAAAAACTAGACGCGAATAAATTTCATCCCATCCGGTACCTCTGCGGCTCTTCAGCTCTTGATAGCCATAAGAAGAACATGTTTTTTGTTTTAGTAAATGCGCGATAGTTTGTGATGGCGGTCAGGCGCAGCGGGGCGGGGGCAGACCGGTCGGGCCGGGCGGCAGCGGGCTGCGGAGGGGGAGGGGGGCGCTACGTAAGCGCGGTAGCAGCGGACGGCGACGCGAGGAATGCGGACGACCTTCAGATGCCGAGCGCCCCTCCCCCTACGCCAGCCGCATCTTGCGTCCTCGCATACCTAAAGCCGACGTTGCCTCCACTTTTCGACATCTCGCCACCAATTTTGACACTCAAAAATTTGTAAGGACGATAATGAACGAACTCAAACTAGGACCATCTATCATCTCTATGTAGTTCCGACTACTCCAACAGCTACGGTAGGTATTTAAAATGCCACAAGCAGTTTTTTTATTTAATTTATGGAAATGACTTTTATTTACCTTGGAGATAATCATCGATTTATAAAACAGTGTTTTGGTTATAATATAAGCCACCTGCGAATACATGAAACTCAATCAGTTTCACTAGAATATTTTAGTATAAACTTTAAAATTAGCTCCATGGCTAGATGCTAACGTAAACTAAAAAAAGTTAAGGTTTTAAAAGGTTTCCAGAATTCTAGTTCTACAGTCCACTCCATGCAGCAAAGATTCATCGCTGATTTCAGTAAATACGGCCACCACAAAATATGCAAGCAGGAGAAAAGAGCTAATTACGCTACTATAGACAGAACTTTGAAGATAAGCTCCATATAAAATTCTACCTAGTAGCCAAATCTTGTGACTGATAGGATATAGAAACTTTTTATTAGATAAGTAAACGATATAGTATATCGTTACAACTGATAAGAATTATACTGCTTATCTATTTCCCTATTATCTTCTGCCACTAGCTTTGCATATTCAGGCTCATAAGACTGATAAAGCTTTTCTTCAAGCAGATTTTATCGGTGACACAGATAAAAACTATTGACCGGAAAGTTTAGATAATAGAAAATGCATGATGAATATTGAACGAATTAATGTAAGAAGAACCATAAATGTAATTAATCCAAGAACACAATGCGGTGTAAATGTAATTATCCCAAATTCTCAAAAAATCAAAGGATTATATTGACATTTGAATTTAAGTGCCTCATTGGTTGAGTTTGCAAGCGCGACTGTCGAGCAAAGGGTTCGATTTCTGGATCGGCACACAATAATTGGTTCGGTCCCATTTAATGGATGGAACACACTTCTACTCTACCACTGCATACTTCTTTAGGCGAATAAAAGACTACACCGTGTCTTACACGGTGTAATGTTAACATTTAATTTTATGTTATTGGGTTAATTCATATGCCTTAACGTCTACCTGAACATTTGGGCAACCCCTTCCTTAGTACCTGTTGCGGTTATATTTATAAGCAATGAATGAATTGTCATCGTCTTAAGTATTTCTCTACCGAAATTCTTCAAATGGAATTCGAGACTTATTCGAGACAGTTTACTCAATTCTTCAATTATGTGGTGGATTCAAGCTAACAGTATAAAACAGTCTCATATCAGTACAAAACGGATAATAATTCACATTACTTACGTTCTATAACATAGTTATAGACTAAACTGGCTTTCCTCCCTTATTCAGATTTCAAGAACAGTTACACTTCATCCTTCCCCAGGAATCCTCTACACTAACATAAATTGCTTAATAATCTGTTCAATCGTTTCAGAGTTTATCGCGAATCAAATAAACAGATGTGACTATAGAGACTTTTGATAAGGGAGCTAAGCAAGTAGCGTGGGACACGTCTTGTAGTTCTTCATTAGGTATAACTTAGCTTTATGTGTAACTTGTGTAAGTTAATAATTCGAAGAAGTAACTAAGTGCAAAACAACTACAGTAATATGTACGTACTTACATCTAACGTCACTTGCAAATGTTACGTGAGAGTAACGAGCATCATTATCTTGGCAATGAAAAGTGTCAAGAGACCACTTATTATAATGGTGTAACTCTACGACTTGCTTAGGTACCTACTTAACTTTGAGCGGGGTCGCGAGAGGGCCGATCCTGCTCGTAGAAGGCGTCGAGGAGGTAACCACCTTGACGCCTAACACGCCGAAATCCCGCCTGCATAAACTTCAGGCGGACCTTTGGGGCCACGGGTACGTAGAGTGGGGACTCTAGGTGCCCACCCTGT